CTTCTTCATTGCAGCTTCACTCAAAGGATATGGTCCCATTTCTTGAATATGGCAGGGTACAGCTGGGCTTTTCCAAAACACATTATGGACAACTTGAATCAATGACAAGGAATAGGGCTTAGCAAAAGGGGTAAAGTCTTTTGGCAATCAGTGCCTCATGCAGTAATGTGGGGCGTTTGGGATGAAAGAAACACCTGTGTCTTTGACAATAAAAGCAGAAACTTGGAGGAGTTAATCTCAGATATTACCTATCTTTGCATCCTTTGGTCGGTGAATTCAGATTTATTTAAAGGACTTTCAGTCAATGATATTATCAGAAATATTCACCCCTTTATGTTTCTGCCTCATCCTCAGCAAACTCCCTTGAGGCATCCCGTTTCCATCAGTGAAGGTGTGATAACCCTTAATTTTGACCGTTGTGCCTTAGGCAATCCGGGCTTTGCAGGTATTGGTGGTACAGTAAGGGACGAAAGGGGTAATATCTGCTGGACTTTTAGTGGCTCAATCGGTTGGGCCGACTCCACAAAGGCTGAAGTGATGGCTGCTCTCACCGGAATCAGGATAATTAAGAATATGGGTATTCAGAATTTGATCATTGCTGGTGATTCAGCAAATACAATAAAATGGTTAAGAGACAAAAAAGGGGGCCCTTGGAGACTTCATCACTATCTGACTGAAGCTTGGGATTCTTTGGATGGATTGCATGTTAACTTAGTTTGGATTCCTAGGGAATACAATCATACTGCAGATGGCCTAGCTAAATTTGGTGTGTATTTGGAGCATCTGTATAGCGACAAGCTTCCTCCTTTGTAACTTGCAGGGGTTCCCCCCCCTTTATTCTCAATAAATCTTGGTTAAATTTTCTCAAAAAAGGAACTTGCCACAATGTTCCATCCTCTAAACAAGTCCTCATCTGAATAGTCCTTGAATAAAGGAGAAGATTTGAGCCAATGTATGACATTGGTAGTTATGCAATCAATGACTTGGTCCTTAGATCTTTCAGATCCTTGAAAGATCCTATTGTTTCTTTCTTCCCAAATTGACCACAAAACAGCTGCTCTTGTCGCTCTCCACATTGCTATCAATGATTGTATGCATTTTTATTTATTTTTTGATCAATATTGTATGCATTTTTATTCTTAAGCAAAATTTTCTTCTTAATGGATGTTTATTTATTTATTTATTTTTGATAAGTGACTTAATGGATGTTTATTAATTAATGTTAAATTGATTATTAAAATTTATATGTTAATAAATATTAATGGAAATTATATTAATTTCTAAAAATTAATACACATTTTACTTCTATTATTTTCAACAATTACCAATTTGTCCCTATATCTCACACTTTATATAAATCATTGAGGTATGGGTTTATATGTTTAAGTAACTTATTTACGGTCATATAAAATTATTTTATTGTTATTAATATATATTTTTAATATTTAGATAAGTTTCCTACGTAAGTGTATCCCAAAACGTCTCTTAAAATTGTCTTTTCGATACACCTTATGTTTCCGATACTTAGAACCTTGGTACAACTGGTTGAAATCAAATCTGTTCTTAATTTTTTATGAAAACCAAGCAAGATGGCGTTTGATTAGAAAACAGTAGATACAATACTCTCACTGTTACAGATTAAAAAGGAAAAAAAGGGGAAGAAAAAGAATCATTTCACTAGAGCTATATATTTGTAATCATTTTATGTTTTCAGTTGGTTATAAGATTTTAGTAGTGGTTGAATTAAGATTCTCTGAAAAAGGGACTTCAATATGCATGGATCTCCAAGTTGAACGATTATTGGTTGGTCATTTCAAAAAAAAAAAAAGATTATTGGTTGGTCTCATTGTCCTAAAGCTTACCAATCCCGTCCCTCTCCAAATTGGCATTTGTTTTGCTTTTAATTTTTTATTAACACAATAGTTTAAGATAGAACAAAGTTTCTAATTTTAGTGATTTGGTTTGGTCAAGTGATTTAATCAGTTTCTTCTATGTTATAATCCAGGAACTAAACACTGCAGAGGACTTCATTTCATTTTATGAGGAAATGATGCCATGGGTGCAAACATTACCACAAGTTCTGTTGCACAAAGAAACAATTATGCATAAGCTGCTTTCTAGGTTGCAAATCAAGGCGAGATTGTCACTTGAACCTATACTCAGGTATGTCAACCTTTGATTGAAGCAGTTGCTGTTTTAGACAATGCTTTGCTTCTTGTTCTCTTTCTCTCTTATGATAATTATTTTATTTTTTCTTGAGATGGGATAAAGTATATTATCATTAAAATAACCAAAAGCCCCTGTACAACTAGAGGCTGTACACAGGAAATTTCAAAACATTACATGCAAAGAAAATTCTTCCACCACCAAACCCCTGGTGTTCACAGATTTTCAAAACATTACAAAAGAGTTTTGTAGACAAAAAGTGTACTCTGATCTACTCTATTAAATTTTCTGTGTGCTGCTACCCAGGAATATAATTTGCCCCATATTTTCTGCAATACTTCCTCCACTGAGGAGCCTTTGTTCTGAAATACCTTAGAATTCCTCTCCTGCCATATTACCCAAAAGGTGACCCCTGGAATCATTTGTCATATGAATTTTCCTTTCTTACTCAAGCCATGCTGCATGCAGATACCAACCTTTCAAGAACATCTCTACAGATGGACAGCATCTCCTGGGAGCAAATAGCTTAAAAACATTTATCCAAATGCCATATGTAAAGCTGAACTTTATCAGCAAGTAGTCCACAGATTCAATCATCTCATTGTCTCTGTAATGATAATTATGATGGAATTACAAATGCTTAAGTAATCATATGTTCTCTTTACTTTGTTTTTTGACTCATAACCACATTTAAATATTAAAATTTAAAACAGTTAACAAGATATCCCATTTTCTAAAGCCTACCAAAATCCCAATCTCAAAAACCTAGATATCTATTGAACCCCCAATACCAGTAGCTCCTGGTTAGCGTGAAAGGCTTCCAGAACTCTCATCATACTTAAGGATCAATTCTGTATCAGTCCTAGGACTCAGCACAGGTCTGAGATGGAGTTCAAAACAAGAGGAGTGCAGGACTTACATGAGATTTCCATCCAGATTACCATAATTAATGCCTTTAAACTGCTTGCAGGTCAACTCCAGGGGTTGGTCAGGGCCATAACACTTCCCCTAAGGCCTTTAAAAGGAGTATAATCACTGTCTAATAAATGCCCTTTGTCCTTAATGTGCAGTCAGATCATTGAGTTATAAATTCGCCTATTGTGTTGGGGGGAACCCAGTGAAAACTGCATTCACGCATCAGATCATGAAAAAATTTCCTAGGCCTGCATTACAACCATGCAATTAATGAGGAGATAACCAATGGGTTCCCCTTCCATCATGTGCATTATGTAAACATTGGGTGAGAATATGAGACGTAAAGCTGACATCTTCTCTCTCTTTTTTTTTTTTGATGATATGAGATGTATTGGTTCACGCACAAGCAGCCTCCTAAATGGAGGAGACTCTTGGGTGAACCGGAGAGAGCTAAAGCTTTCTATCTGGGAAACGAGGAAGTCATGGAGTGCCAGCTGTAAGACATTGGAAATAGGGCTTGATGAAAAATATGCCATGAGGAGTAAGAGACCAAATTCACTTATCAGGGAGAGAGGGGGATAGGAAAATATCATTGAGGGAATACAAAAGGGATGGGATCTCATGAGTTTCTGATTCAATTAGGTAACTACATAAGTACTCATAAAAAAAAAGGTAATTACAGAAGTAGAGACCTTGTTCCCCTCTTGACAGAACTGAGGAGACAAATATATCCTTACTCATAACAATCCGAAAGAAATTAGAGTAAGCGAAGCAAAGAGGCTGGGGACCTAACCAAGGAGCAGTCAGAAATTTAATGAGTTTACCACCTCCTAAACCGAACCTCATGAAAGGAGAGAAGAAATCATAGGATTGAATAATACCTTTCTCAAGGGTCTAATATCAATATCAGTATCTTGATGTGATGGCATCATTTTTTTTATTGTTATATCAATATTAACTTTATTAACATGTGAAAAAAGAATGGGTGATATATTCAAGACAAATTGTGTCAAGCGCCTGAAAAGAAGTTCATTTTAGGCAAGCCTAGTCATCAAATCCATCAGAAAACCTTTTTCATTGATTACATGTATCATTCTGTTTCCCTATGGGATCATCCTGGTTTGACAAATATGATCCCTTATGGAAACTTTAAAGGAAAAATATGATGGTGGTAAACAATTTTTTGGGTAATAAACGGTGAAGAAGATTTTTATTAATGAGAAACAGAAAACAGCACGAGTACAATGGAAGGAAGAGGTGATGAGGTAGCACCCAAGGTTCAAATTTGATAGATACACCCTGTATTGTATCGGCAAGTGGGGTTTTGACCACTTTCAGGGGGTAGGTAGGTGTAAGACTGACCCCTTGACCAATTTTGAAAAAAAAAAGACTAAAAAAGGTTATGTGTTATCAAAACACCTGATACACAAGTTTGTGCATATCGGGGTTATTGATACTTTGATCCTTGGAAGCACCCCAACCCCCCCAAAAACATTACAAACTAGATGATAAACAAAAGAAGTGAGCTAATGGATTGTTTTCAATAGTGGATTCTTTTGATGGGATCATCCTGGCTTGACAAATATCCTTGTGGAAACCAGAAACCTTTAAGGCTGTGTTCGGAATGAAAGAAAAGATATGGCAAGCTATACAATGTTTGTACTGGTTTCCCTATCTTTCCCTTCCTTCCTTCCCCTACCTTTTCTTTCAAACCAAACACAGCTTAAAGGAAAAATATGGCAATGGTAACCAACAAGAAAAATGACAGTGGTAAACAAAATAGTGAAGCTAATGAAATGCTTTTGAGAGTAGAGACATGTTAAAACAGGAACTTGGGTTACTTGGGCAAGCTGTAGGAAGCTTCTTCTTTAGTTATAGGGTGTAGGGTAGCAATAGCATGCTAGGTGTAGGTAAACTTCTGGTTTCTTGTACTTACTCTGTTTGTACATCATAGCTTTTCATCTTACTATTAACAAAATTTATAATATGCTGCTTATCAACAAAGAGGTGCATGCAAATCAGAATATACCTCCTATTTCTTTTCTCTTTTGCAGAGCCTTATCCTTTCATTCTTGGTTTGGATAATATGGTTGAGAGAAGTAATCTGTTGTTTATTTTGACAGGTTGATTGCAGCTTTATCGAGAGATCTCCTCGAAGATTTTTGTCCGTAAGTTCTTTTCTATTTCTGCTTGAACCTATGTTGCTAATAATATTGTCATCACAATTTATAGCTTATATGCATGTGTGTATGTATTCCTTGTGTGCCTTTCCAGTTTGGATAACCCTGTATAAGCATGAATTGTAATCTAAAATTTCTGTTAGGTGTTCTTGTTCTTACGTGGATTTTTAATTATTTTTTTCCTTTTTTGATAAGTGCTTTTAGTTTAAAACTCTGTTAACTTCTTTGTTAGCTGATTCCTTGCTCTCATTTCTCTTTTGCAGCTTTCTGCAGAGGATCACTGATTGCATAGTGTCTCTCCTTAAAGATGGTGCTGAAAGGGAACCAGAAATCCTTGAGCAGGTAAATGAGTAGATGTTCTTGTCTTTTTATTTTCCTGCTCTCAAATGCATATATTTACTCATCTGAAAACCACGTTCAATATTTATTTGGCACCCCTGATGTTGCAGATTTTTACGTCATGGTCTTGTATCATGATGTATTTGCAGAAGTATCTTGTAAGGGATGTTGTTCATGTGCTCAAGTAAGTAAATATAGGTTTAAATAGAACTCTATTTAAACAGAGAAAGTGCTTACTCTATTGCTTATTTCTTTTTTATAAAAGTTTTTGATCATCTCTAATGATTCTTATGAGGGTCTTTGAACAAGGACATTATGATTGTCATATGATAATTACTGTCTGCAATTTGCATATCATGTGCTGCTGCTTAAAAGTTGTTATTAAAGTTCTCACTTTGCAAAACTCTGCTTAGATCATTTATTTGCACTTGTATAATGGTACTCTTTTTTAGCAAAAGAGGACATGGGAGTAGGTTCCGAAGGAGCCCATGTGGCCCCATCTTTTGCAATTTGATATTGATGGATGTTTCAAAAGCTCTTTTTTTGCTACGATATCTGGAAAATCTTGAAAAATCAGGGAAAGGTTACTAGAACATGGAGTTTGTTAATGAAACATTGCCGGAAGTGTAATTGCTTAGTCGTATATATATAATTATAGAAGATTAATGGATTTAAAAGCCAAAAGCATGCACAGAATATGTTAATGAAACATTATTGGAAGTGTAATTGCATAGTTAATGAAAGGCCTTGCACATTATCAAATTATAAAAGATTAATGGACATAAAAACTAAAAGCATTTATTTCATCAATATCACATGCTTTTTTGTTTTTTAGGTTAGTAAATTAATTCAATGTACATGTACATGCTATTTATACACTTATCCTTGTATGCTTCCTCATTTGATATACTTCTTTACAAGTACAATATCTTAAAAATTTTGCACATATATTTATATTATACTAATGTGCTTATGCTTATCTTATAACTCTTAATTTAATTTTTTTCTTTTTTCTTATCTTTTATTTGTATGTATTGGCTACAGGCATATAATACATGAGGTGTAGAATATATATAGTACTAACAGGTTTACACTTTATCTTATTCTCTATCCTAATTTAATCTGATTTTTATTTTAAAAGTTTTTATAATTACTAGAGCTAGGTCATTGGGCTGGGCTCACCTAAGTAGATCCCTATGGATTGTTGACCACTACTTAGATAGAAAATAGTTTTCTTTAGAGTTAGTTTAAGTTTCTATTCTATTTTCATCATTAATAACAATAACTTTACTAGCCACACTTATTTTTTTGACACAATAAATACATATTTTTTATTAAAAATTCCTATATTTCTTAGTAATTCTATTTTTATTTTACCCATTTGACCTAAAAGGTTGAACCATTAACCCACCACTTGAATAGGAAAATGGTTTTGTTTTTTGGTAGTTTTTAAATTTTGCATTTCATTTCAACCATTAATAAGCAATTCTTCTTATTTATCATACTTACTTTTTTATATGATAAATATATAATATTAGAGATGTGCTAAAAAAATTCACTTCTTTGTATATTTTATAATTTTATTTATTTATAATTTTTTATTATTTAACTATGACACCATGGATATGCCAACAGAAGTAAGTACAATCTTTAACCCTTCTATGTTCTATTGGCCTCATAAAAGAGGATGGAAAATGTGGAGTGTGCACGAGCAGCCTTGTTATGGACAGTTTGGGAAGAAAGGAATGCTAGGATCTTCTAGGAAAAGGGGAGAAGCAGTCAGGCCTTGAAGGACTGCATTTTGTATAGGACAATACATTGGTTAAAGACTCTGGATTTGTTTGATCATTTATCCTTTACTGACTGTTGGAGGGATTGGTTATCAGTAGCAAGTTGCTCCTCCTCAAAGATAAGCTGGGTCCCCCCTCCTCACGGTTCTTTGAAGCTGAATTTTGATGGAAGTAGCCAGGGCAACCTGGGTCCCTCTGGTTTGGGAGGTGTACTGAGGAATGAGGCTGGAGAGGCTGTCTTACTATACTCTGGCCCTTTAGGTGTTGGGAACTCTATTCGGGCAGAGTTGTTAGCTGCAATACAAGGAATAATTCTTGCAAAAGAAATGGGTGTGGAGCAGCTTCTGGTTGAAGGGGACTCTAAGACAGTGGTGAACAACTGGTTAAATAATCTGAAAGATGTCACGTGGGACTACAAGAATGAGATAAAGAAATTCAAATGGCTGGCAAGGAATATATCTGAAACAGTACAGTGGGTTAGGAGATCAGTTAATGCATTTGCTGATGTTTTGGCAAAACAAGGGACAAACAGGGAAACATTGTTCTGGGCGCAACTGTAATTTGTGTCTTTTTAATAGTCATGCACTTTTTGATGTAGTTTTTGTGTTTTCTGTATGGAGAGGCAGCACCTTGTGCCTCTGAAAGGGAATTTTCATGTAACCGATCTTTGAATTAATGGAATATGACTCATTACTTATCAAAAACTATGACACCATGGATTGACCCATTTAATCTGATGATTTAACTACTTATCTACCATCTGAATTGAAGGATGGTTTTGTTTTCCTTTGCAATTTTAAATACATAGGTTTTGTATTGTTAAAATTATTGGATATTAATTTAAGGTCTCCTGCTAGTCGTAGCAGAGACTTGGGATCGAATCCCACCTGCACCTGGATTTGGGGATGGGCTACCCCCCGTTGTGTAGCCCTTCAGAAGATATAAAAAAATAGTTTAATTAGTATAATTTATTAGTTAGAAATCAAAATATACCTCAAATAAAAGATATGATCATAGAGAACCAAAGTTAACACCTTAAATATTGATGCGCCACAGATACGATACGATACGATACTCTTGATATGGGGTGTATCATATTGAAATTTTGAACCATGGGGTGGATAGAAGAAATTTATTTTGGGCCAAGCTGGGAAATAGCAATCTAGCTTAAAATATTAATACAATGATATGAAGAAATAAGGTAGGTGACTTAGATTGGCCTATGTTGGGGATGCTTGGCATCTATGCAAGTATCTCATTCTTTTCAGTACTGTTATCAACTGAAAAAGATAATTTTGGCCCTAACTTTCCACTGACCTTCTATTGCTAGTTCCCTCCACTATAGTTGCTCTTAAATTACACAAAGTGTTTATTGGGTAATTCTATTATGTAACTTGGGTGTTAAAAATTAAAATTAAAACGTACTCTCTTTCTCTTTCTCTCTCTCTCTCTCGTGTATGTGTGCTCAACTCATTCTGCTTACATTTATTATATACTATTTCCAGTCTTGTTTGCCTCGACAACTTTTAACAAATTCTCTTTATTGAAGGATCACAGTTCATTTAAGATATTACCCTAAGGATTATATTCAAGAATTTATGGCTGATGCAATTTCTTTCTTGCTGAGGAATGCACCTGAGAAGCAACTAAAGAAAGGTAATTACTGTGCTGCTGTTTCTTCAATGTTGTTCCATTGATTTAGAAAGTAATTTAGACAATTGTGTGGATAGTATATTGTAAGTCTAAGTAAACTATATTCTGCATAATAATTTTTAACCTTAAGAGGCAATTAACTGGATTTTTTTTTTATGAACGAAGAAAATTTATTAATTCAGAAAAACAGTTCAGGAAACACTGAAAAGGCACGAGCTGTTACCTCTTCAGAAAAGTATTACATCAGAATAAAACAGAATTAACCATAAATAAAATTACAAAGCAGCCCAAAATAACTGATCCCTTGTAGCCCCCTGCTTAGCTAACCCATCCGCTAAGGTGTTTGCTGATCTTCCCACCCAAAGAGAGGTAACAGTCATATTTCTTGTAAGCCAGTTGGCTTTCCTTAATAAATCTCTGTGTCGCCACATGGCTGAAGCTGGGTATGTCAACTATCCCAAAACAATTTGAGAGTCTCCTTCAACTACCAAGTGCTGAACTCCTAATAGTTCTGCAATCTGAATACCTTGTACTGCTGCTAAAATCTCAGCTCTATTAGAGTTTCCTATTCCCACGGGGCCTGAAAACAAGGCTAATATGTTGCTCTTCGTGTCTCTCAGCACCCCTCCTATCCCCGATGGGCCTGGGTTTCCTTGGCTGCTGCCATCAAAGTTCAGCTTTACCCATCCTTCAGGCGGAGGGGTCCACACTACAGATTCCCTGTCCTTGTATGGCTGTTAACCTCTGCTATCCAGTTTCTCCAAATATCATCAAAGGAAAAGGTATGAAAGAAGTCCAAAGTTCTCAACCAGTGGATTGCCCTAGTCAAGATACAATCTTCAACAGCCCAAATGCTTCATTCTTTTTCCTTGAATATCCTTGCATTCCTTTCTTCCCAAATTGTCTACAATGCGGCTGCTCTAATACATCTCCACATCATTTTTCCTTTTTTTGTTGGCCACACAAAAAAGGAAGGATCGAACAGTTGGCTTAAGTCTGTGGACAGATTCCACCTACACCCAAACAAAGAAAAGATCTAACTCCAAATAGCTCTAGGAAAGGAACAAGATACAATTAACTGGATTCATCCACTAAGCTTAGTAATAGCTAATAAGTTATGGTTATATGTGCATTTGTAATCATCATCACCACCACCACGGCACCATCATCATCATCATCATCATCCATGCCTTATCCCAACCATATGGGGACATGTGCATTTGTAATAACAACATTAAATATATATAACTTTAGCATTTTCTTGTTAGGAAGTGTTTGAGTTTTATTTTTTATTGGTAACAGATCAAATAGATAATATTTTGATGAAAAACAGAAGTGAAGTACAACATGAAAAGGAAAAATATAACTAGACAAAAAAGTGGATGGCTCACCCAATTGAAAAAATGAGCCTAAGAACAAATACTAACGGATTTAACACTGATCTTTTTTTTTTTTTTTCATTTATTGGGAAGTTCTAGTGGTGTCATCCAGTAGAAGGGATTGTTTCTTTGACATGGTTATCTCCTCCATTAATAGAGTATAATTATATTTTGATGGATGATGCATGTGGAGTCCAGGTGATTCAGGTGCCGGGGGAGCATTTTATTGTAAGGTGCCAACCAGTGGGTTGGGGGATGGGCTACCCCTGGTTTGTAGCCCTTCTGAAGAAATAAAAAAAGGGATCTGATAGGTTCGGGAATTCTAAACTGGAAGAACTTCGAGCTCTGCTTCAAGGTCTCAGACTGGCGCAGACATCAGAATACAGGAACCTGCTTGTAGTAGGGTATTCAAAGTAAAAACATTAGTTGGTTAAGAGGAGAAAGGAAAAGATTTTGGCATTTTTAAGACATCTGATTGGTGAAGCATGACACTTGGCCATTAGTTGTTTTTGACTGGATTCCTAGGTTTACTAACTATATTGTTTAATTCTCTAACCTGAGAGTGAGTTAGTAGGCATACTTCCATTAGGGGTGGATGCCCTTTAGACTAAAGAATTCATACAATTGTAACTCTATTTGGAGCTGTGGAGCAGCAACAATAGGCTGGCTCTTTTTGTAATATATGAAAATAGATTCTACACATACCTTTTTGAGGTGTAACATACATACTTGTATATTGTGTACATGGTTCTAACTCATTGACCTTATAAAATCTTGTCTCTAGTGAGACTTCATCCCTCTCTTTGCTATATGGCTTTATAAGTTACTTTATCAATTATCAGGAAAGAAAGAAAAAATGATTAAGGCTCCGTTT